GGCCCTCTCCTTTGAAGCCAGGCATGCTGAACTTGGGCATTTTCACCTTGGGCATCTTCAGGTGCCAGTCTGGGCCCTGAACATCCACATCTGGAGCATTAATGTCCACTTTGGGGCCTTTGATGTCAACCTTTGGCCCTTTAAGATCCCCTTCAAGTTTGGGAAGAGAAACATCTACATCTCCTTTTACCTTGGGACCTTTCAGGTTTAAGTCAATGTCAGGCATAGAGATCTTGGGGGTTTTGATGTTCATTTCAGGCATCTTAAATTTGGGGCCTTTTAAGCTTCCCTCTGGACATTCCACATTGAGTTCTGGGCCCTCAATATTCACACTGGGACCTTCTATATTGATGTCTCCTTTTGGTAAATCCATAGCCACATCAGGTCCTTCTGCTTTGGAGCCAGACACACTGAATTTGGGCATTTTCATCTTGGGCATCTTCAGATTCCATTCTGGACCATGAACATCCATATCAGGTGCATTAAGATGAACTTCTGGTGCTTTAATATCCACGTTGGGACTTTTAAAGTCTCCTTCTAAATTTGGGCCTGCTACATCTAAGTCTCCTTTAACTTTAGGACCTTTCAAATTTAGCTCCACATCAGGCATAGAAACTTTGGGAGATGAAATACTCAGGAAAGGCATTTTAAACTTGGATCCTTTCACTTTGCCTTGGACTTCAACTTCTGGAGCATTAATATCAACTTTTGGAGCTGTTACATCAACATCTGGCTTTTTAATTTTGACATCCATGTCAGGTGTCTGAACTTTGGACCCAGAAAAATTAAATTTAGGGAGCTTAAAACGAGATTTCTTTGATTTTCCTTCAATATTAACCTTGGGAGCAGAAATGTCCACTTCTGGGCCCTTCACATCCAACTTGGGAGTTTTAATGTCACCCTCCAGTTTGGGTCCAGAGATATCAACATCTCCCTTAAGCTTTGAGCCCTTTAAATTCAAGTCAATTTCAGGCATGGAGATCTTGGGCATGTTTACATGCATGTCAGGCATTTTCAGTTTGGGACCTTTTAATTTGCCCTCAGGACCATGAATGTCCATATCTGGAGCATTTACATCTAATTTTGGACCTTTTATGTCAAGAGAAGGCCCTTTCAAATCACCCTCTACATTTGGAAGTGAAACATCCACATCTCCTTTCACTTTGGGGCCTTTAAGATTAAGGTCCAAATCAGGCATTGAGATCTTAGGAGCCTTGATGTTCATCTCCGGCATCTTGAACTTAGGACCCTTCAGTTTTGCATCTGGACCTTCAATATTCACATCTGGAACATCTATGTCCACCTTGGGTCCTGAGACATCAATGTCAGCCTTGGGCAGGTTCACATCCACTTCAGGGCCCTCTCCTTTGAAGCCAGGCATGCTGAACTT